GAAATTACAAAAAAGGACGAAAATCAGTGAATAGACACCTTTTCATAAAGGTGGTGCATTGTTTGGAAATGGTGCATGGTTTGGCCCCAACCATTTCGTCCACACCCTTTCATGGTCTATAAATAGGACCCTTTGGGTGTCCTATTCCTCACAGTTTGATATGCAAAACGTCTCTCATCCTCTCTTCTATCCAAAATCAAAATCATTCATTTATTTTGATTTTCTTTCATTTCATCCTTGGAGTACATAAACCTAAATTTGGTTCGTTGTACTTGTGTTTTGGAGTGCTACAAACACAAGTGTAGCCGTTGTATCTTGGGAGTCGATTGCCGAAATCCGTAGGCACCGTAGCGGGGCAAATTCGACTTAAGGACAAAGAGTCCAACTCTTGCCTCGGCTTTGTCCCTATCTTTATACTTATTTTTGGCGTCTCTATTCACAAAATTCTTCCAACATCAATAACATTAAATAAGACTTATTGATTCGTGTGAAGAACAAAATCAGCCTATATAAATCAGACGGAGAGAGTATATAAATTCTCAAATTTTCTTTTTTTAATAAAAATAAGATCTATAAGATTTTTATATTAGTTGATCTTCCACTTCTATAATCATTAAAAAAAATTGTCATATTTTAAAAAGATATATAAATATTTTAAGAATTTTGAAAAATATAATGTAAAAGTACGTATAGAATTTATATGTATTTGAAGAACAATAATTCCATCGAGTGATAGTGTATTCTAGCGGAAAAGTATGACTCTTCTAAACTTGAGGTTCTTGGTTCAATTAAATTTACAAAAAATCGATTGGTTTAAACTGATTGATTCACAGGATTTGAGCAAAATCCAGCATGTTGAAGTGGGCAAAATTGGCAGTTGAGTTTTCATTTGGATCGATCGAATCAGTTGATTCAGTCAAGCTTCGATAAGTATTGGGTAATGTGAAAGTTAAATTACTCACCAATTTGAAATGTAAATTAGTGGAATAATGTTATTTAGTCCTATCTAAGTTAGACTAAATAAATTGTGAAATTAAATGAAATCACTTATCATTTAATGTCACATCAGAACATTTTCAAGAGATTCTTTATTGCTCTCTATTTTAAAGAGTCAACCATTCAAATTATATTCTAAGATACTCTTTAAACTAACATTTTTATTCAGAGAGAGTGTTTGACTCTTTAAATTTAAAGAGTCAAAACCACTCTCTATTATTAAACGTATTCAAAGTATTTCAATTTTTAATTAAAGAAAATGATATAATAATTTATTGGAAAGCTAGTGAAAATAAAAAATAGGAAAAGACAATATATATTTATTCGAGAGTAGTAAAATTAAGATTTAGGTGAGATTAATTGCTCTAATTTCCTAGTTGAGAACACCACCTAAAGATTTTAATGAATTTTAAAATATTATAAATTCTAATGAATTTCGTGAATTTGAATAGATTCCTACAAATTTCATAAGAATCTCATCAAATATAGTGAAATTTCAAAAGATTTGGTTATATGTATTTTTAAATTTGAAATCCATCAAAATCTTTTAAAATCTTTCTATTAATATAATCTTTATAAATCCACTAGATATTGAGAATACCTAAATTTTAAAGAATTTCATTAAATTTTATTAAAACATCAATTAGGGACACCTAAATTTTAACGCATTTCATTAAAATCTTAATTGAAGACATCTAAATTTAAAATGATTTTTAAAATCCATCACAATCTCAATTAAGGATAACCCATTTAAAGAGTTTGTTAAAGTAATTAAAATTTTTTACTCTCTAAATTTATAGATGTTTTATAAATGGTAAAATATGGTCTTTAAAAATAGAGATTTTCTTGAAGATATTCTTATCGCCACATATTTATCATTTTATAATAATATTTGGTATAAAATTATTCAAATTAGTGATCCAGATAAGGTTTTACGTAAATATAGCCCCTGTTTGATCCCCATTATGTAGAAAAATTAATGGGGGAAATAGTGTTTTTTTGAAAAATGAGTGGTTGAAAAAGAATGAAAAGTTTTCGATTTACGTGCAATATTATTTTATGGAAGATTGTGTGATTGAAAATAGAAGAGAGAAAAATGAAATGTAATAGAATTTAATATAATGGGGCTCAAACATGGGCATAATGAATGCCAATATTTATTTTTTTATAATAATATTTGGTATAAAATTAGAATAATGCTATTTGCAGTCCCTCACTGCGGCAGTCGCCCTACGTGACATACACATGACAGGTGGTTATTTGATACATTAATGAATAAAAAAATTATCATATTAATACATCAAATAATCACCTATCATGTGTATACTATGTAGAACGACTACTGCAGTGAACGACTACGAATATCATTACTCATAAAATTAGAATAAGTAATAAAGTAACAAACAGTGAATGCCGACTCATTATTTGTCATTTTATATTTAACTTTGACTCAAACTCTGTGTGCGTACGTGTAATAAATAACAGGGTTTATGCTTTTATCTTGATTGGGGTTTTTTATTAGGTAGACTTTATTAGGTCCACTTGGAAGTCGGCCGAGTAACAGGTAGCGTAGGTCTAGAAAACAAAATTCCGCACTAAAATCGGTTTCACATTAACTTTACAATCAATAATCCAATAGGAATTAATTAGTATTATCACTCCATTTGGATTCTTGGATAGAAAATAATTGAATTACTTAAAAAAATTACACTCAACCAAGAGCCTGTTTGATAGATATTTTAATTTAATTAAAATCAAAATTTTGATCGTTATTTCACTATTCTGATCGTCATTTTTGAATTCTTCTCTTATAGATAGAATTCATTTTATCTTTAACGGTCAAAAAA